GACTTACATTCATGTGTGTGTTGAGATGTGCAGGTGAATGATGGCAAACAACTAGAGGACGCTGATGAAGATGAAGATGAAGATGATGAGAATAGTGAGAATAATTGGCGCAATGAGTACCCAGAGAGGAGAGCAGTGACGGAGATGAAGATTCCAGAGGTAGGTGGGTGGCAGCCTTGGATGGGGAGGGACTGCTGGGATCCAAGACTGAGGCATGCGTACAGAAGACAGATCCATTCTAGCTAGCTTTCCTTCTCCATTGAGCTCGTGCAGCTCAATCATAAGCTGTTGGAGCTACAGAAGACCCACAGACCAGTGTTTGGGGGAGGGGGTTGTTATTAGAGTAATGTCAGTCAGGTGTGGGTTCAAATCCTTAGTTCTATCATTGCCTAGCGGTGGATCTTGGGCAAGTTACTTCATCTTATTGAGCCTCATTTTCCCTCCAGAAAATAAGAATATTGCATCAACTGGTAGAGATTAAGTGAAACATCTAGCTCAGTGTCTCTTTCCCTGCTTCGGTCTAACAGTATTGGAGAGGTTCTAAGTGCCAACAAAAAGAATTTATTTGTGTCTGTTAATGGAGGAACAATTAGATCAAACTACAGAATATTCTGTAGTGCCCATAATATATTAAAAGGGGCAAGGTTCAACATTATATTTACAATATGACTACAACTATTATATTAAAAAAAAAATCTATACTTAAGGGAGAAATGACAAAATATCCCACTGTTAAAAGACTTGGTTTAAATGGTAGAAATGAGATCTTTTCGAATTGTTCCCCTGAATTCTCTTTATTGAGCAAGTATTTTTAAGTAATGAACCAAAATAAAAAAACCAAACAAACAAAACCAGCCCAGCTGGTGTAGCTCAGCGGTTGAGCATCGACCCAGGAACCAAGAGTCACTGGTTCGACTCCCTGTGAGGGCACATGCCCGGGTTGCGGGCTCGATCCCCAGTGGTGGCTGTGCAGGAGGCAGCCGATCAATAACTTCCTCTCTCGTTGTTACTATCTCTCTATCCTTCTCCCTTCCCCCCTCTCTAAAAATCAATAAAAAATTATTTACAAAAACAAAAACCCGGACCTTTTTGAGATGGGAAGGAGCTCACAGTCGCCAAAAAAAAATGATGCAGGTGGAGTCCATTCCTGTTCTCTCATTCCAGGCTCTGATGAATGCAACGGCCTCAGTGAAGAGGAAAGAGGCAACAGCAGACCACAGACGTGGAGCAAATACCCTTTGGATGTGCAGAAGGAGTTTGGCTATGACAGCACTCATGACCTGGACTCGGACTGAGGATCCTGGGACAGCCATGAGGTTCTATCACAGGCCCTTGAGGGCTTTGACTGCCTTATCAGCCACCCTGGTAGTGGGTTTCCTGGCATAACACACGGAAGGAGAAAGCATGTCCAACAGCACCATCATAGCAGTGAAAACGTGTGCTGAAGGAGTATCTCTTTTCCATTAATAGTAGGATGCTTTGCCTCATTCAAGTGACCCTGCAATCTAGGGGACAAAAAAACAAACAAAAAAACATAAAATGAAGCTTCCTGGCCTAGGCATTTTCCTGCTCTTCTTCTACGCTAAAGCCAGTAAGTGGAAGAGAGGCTGTTTCATGAGAACTTAGGTTCAACTTTCCCATGCCACCAGGCACCCGCCCCCAGTAAAAGTCTGATTCTTTTTGACGGGAAAATCTAGAAGGGCTACAGTGGGTCTCTTGTAGGAACACACACTGAGTAGTAATGGCCAGTAGAGGAAGAATCTGCCTGAGCTGTGAGGGGTTTGGTTGACAGTTGTCTCTACCTCCCTGCTTCCTATGATAATGACCGTAAAGATTGCTCTTTCGTTAGCAGTGGTACCAAGGAACAGGGTATGTATGAATGTGATACTCTGCATTTAGTAAAAACACTAACTATGGGAGCAAGTAATTCCTTTAAAACCTTTTCAATCTGAATGTTTTCCATTGTGCTCCCTCTCCCCTTCCTGCCCCCCACCAAAAATGGGGGAGTGGTGAGATAAAAGTTTCAGAATTGACCTGAGACACAGAGGACTTAAAGCAAATTAGGAAAAGGAAAACAAATCCTGAACTTAGCTTTCCACTAAGAAATGTTTAACTATTTACAGCACTCACCAAAAACTATCAATAGGACAAAATTTCTTCCCCAGAATTTACATTTCTGCCCCTACCCCTTCCAAAGCACAGATGCCTTAACTCAGACTGAGTTGGCATTTAGTCTTCTAATGTAGCATTCGTTGTCAGTAGAACTTTTGCAAAGACGAATGTGTCCTATATATGCCCTGTGCAGTGGTAGCCACTAGCCACATGTGGCTGAGCACTTTTAATGTGATTAGTGTGACAGGAATTTTTCAACTTTATTTTAAGTAGCTACATGTGGCTAGTAGCTACTGTACTGGTCAGTGCAGGTATAGGGCAATCAATACCCAGAACCTTCTATTCAAGACATGCCCTCTTGCCCCATAGCGCACACTCACTATCAGGGGAAGGTGAATTACACAGGGATGTGTCTTCCCACATCTTTTAAAGACTTCATAAGCATCTACTTTCCCACCCTGCCTAAACCCATTTATCTACATCGGTTCCTATGTACACAGAGTTGTTAAACCTGAATGATTAAATTGTATGTGTGTGTGTGCTCAGGCTCTACTCTTGTGGCTCTAAAACCAACGGACTATTGGTTTCCCACCCTAACTATCCACAAAGGTACAATTCAGTGTCACAAGTAAGAGGCAGCAACTTAAATGTACATGAACACTAGTCATCTTAGTCTATAGTAAAAGAAGGATTAAAAACCACTCTGTACCAGTATGATGTGTTCATTGCTATTTATGTGCTCATTAAAGTTTGCCAACATTAAAGGGCTTAACAACTTCACAAACTGTACCCAGTGCAAAAGGGATTAGCATACCAGGAGAAGAAATGAGGCTGAGGAACAAAACCCTCATGGAAATTAATTCCCCCTCAAAGCTTGAGTGGAGGAAGTCTGGCTTCCCTCCCACAGGAGGGTTTCTAGGAAGTCTGTACGCAGCACAGAGGGGAAGAATGCGGTCGCCATCCACTAACGGGAGGAGGATGACATGGCTCACTAAGCCAGTGTGAGGGCACCTGGGGTATGGAGGCCCTTGTTTTCCCAGGAGCCAACGGGAAACAGCAAGTTCCTGGGGTGAGCTGGTCATTTGCTTGAGTGGAGGAAGCCAAAGCCTGCCTCAGGGGTCCTCAAAACAAGCGCACTCTACTTCAAGGATTAGCGCTAAAGGATCCCTGGAGCAGGTGCCAGCTTGGCTCAGACAAGAGTCGTGTGTACATAGTCTAGGCAAGTCACCCTTTGTATGGGCTCCCTGTTGTAGACAGGAATTTGCAGTGCAAATCCCCAACCTATGATAGTAGGAGTGGCCCCCTATGTTCTCACAGATGCTTACCCTGAACCAAAGCAATTGTGAGCATGCTCCCTTAAATTGTTTGTATCGAGCAGGTCTGACCAAGGTTACGCCCTTGCCTGAGATGAGCCAGTTTGGTGGAGAAAAACAGAAAGGGAGATTGCCTCGTGCTTCTTGTCTTTACCATTGGTCAGTTCCAAACCGTAAGGACAAGAAGCCCACGGGTGTGCCAAGCCAGCAGGTTCTCTGGGCCCAGGATGATGGGGTCTGAGGTCATCCTAGGAGAGTTGTACAATCCAGTGCAGCCAAGCTGCCCGTGAAGGAGTATCCTCTAGGCCAAACCTGCTCGGCCTGACCTGGGTGTTAAAGAGCAGCCTGAGCACCAGAATTAGTTACGTCCAATCGTGCAGTCTGCTGAGGAGCCAGACTGAGGTTAAAGCAGCTTTTTTCCCAGAGTCTTCACTGCTCTCCATGGGAAAAAAGTCCCCAGGAGTACCAAGGTCTTCCTGAGACTGAAGCCCCACAGACCTCCCCCAGGAGGCAGGCGGGGGAGGAGTGCACTGTCCCAGCGATCCACACCAAGGCGGCTCAGTGTAAACAAAGCCTGGTGCTGGGGACAAGCAGATGCGGCCTGGTGTGAGGTTTCCAGAAAAAGAGAACGACCACATCTAGCACCTCGGAGGGCCTGCGTGGGTCTGCACAGCAGCCCCTCACACCCACCCTTAGCGAGTGGAACAAGCTATTTGGTGCCTCAAGTCCATGAGACATTGACAGCTGAGAGAATTCAGGTGCTGTACCTGAACGAGAAGTTCCTGTCCTCTGAAAGTTCGTACCAGAAACCCAGCGGTGTACTTGATCATCTAGAACACAGACAAGCTCCCAAGTGAAATAAAGGATTCTCCTTCAAAACAACGGTAGTGCCAGACTTCTGACGCATGAATTTGTTCATGTGTCAGCTACAACCCCAGGTGCTTGTAACGTATACTAAAGTGTAATCGGTACGTGAGTAAAAAATCTTTAAAGTTCACCTTTGCAGGTAAGACTCAACAGAACATTGTGCTAAAACGAAGCAAAAAAAAAAAAAATCTGGGGTCAGAGTCTGACCCACCACCACGTAGAGACACCTCTGAGGACAGAGGGACTCATCTTTGGGTACTTTGCATTTATAAACAGCCTCCTGCATCCTGTAGGTGAATACCAGGACTCACCTAGAATTGGTGTTCTGGATTAAATAATATAAATAAATAATGGAATACCACCATTTCCCCCAGGGAAGGATTTTGAACCCGAGGAAGAAATGGTAGCATTTCAGGCCTCTGAAGTCAGGTGCCTGGACCTGGTCAGAGGAAAACTTGTCATAAAAGCAGCCCCTTTGTCGAGACTCCTGGTTCCAACCTCGAGTACCAAGTTTAGAAACCACCAGCCACAGCTAACCCAGCTAGCACTCCCTCTTCCCCTAGTGCAACTCACCAAGTGTCTGTAAGGGCGACACACACCACCCAGCAGGAACAAAACCCAACAACCATCCCCACGCCCTCCCCGCCCCACCTTCATGCTGGCCCCTGACTCGCTCTTCTCCCATAGCTGACCAATGAGAGTGAGCACCTGAGGAAGCCATCAGCCCTCCACCCCCTGACATAATGTGTGCCAACAGGCTCCTTCAGCACAAGAGGGCTGGGTCCACACAGTCTTGCCATCTGGCCTTTGGTGACTGTGGCCACAGGTAAAACCTTCCAGGCCTCAGGGGACTTCACCTCTGGCCTCTAGTCAGTTTTCCTCTCAACCTTTGTCTCTTCGGCTACATCTAGCTCAGTCAGGACGCAAAAGCAAATCTTCTGGGTGACTTTGGTGATAGCAGCTAAATGGGAAAAGAAGAGAACTGAGTAAACACATTCAGCTACAACCCCAATCTGAACACCACAAGGCTGTTCACAGCACATCTGTGGCTCCCTGCTCATCTCTCCCTTGGGTACCCCGTGCCAGGCTTTGCCCCTCACCCCCAACCAGCCTCAGCATCCCCAGTCCTGAGCCCAACCAGAGTCTTTACACTTAGATTGCACTTATAAGAGGTAGTGTTTTAACCCCAAAATAGGAGCCTAAAGATAGAAGTAAAATGATCATATCAAGATAAAAAGGGAAGAAGTCATGTGGGGCAGTCAGGTCTCATGGCCTCTAGCACATCACTAGTTTGGAGGAAGCCAGCTACCATGCCCATCTCTCCCACGCATCTGTGAACACACACACACACACACACACACACACACACAACCAGTGATGATGGGCAAAGAAGCTCACCCAGGATATTCCGGACAAAGAGCGGCCTCCGGGATTCTGGCAGGTAAACACCCAGGAAGTAGACGGGGATTCCGGAGAGGGAGATCCCAATGCCAATGAAGGAATTGATGGTGTCTCCAAAGAGGGGCACAATCACCAGAAACAAGGAGCATATGCAGAACACGATGGGAAAAAACAGGCTCAGCTGAAATGAAGGGAGGTGAGATATCAGGTAATGTGGGATGGGGGAACGATACGGAAAAGAAGGCACCTCTGGGAGAGGGCCCACCCTTCCTGTCTGCCCAGAGCCACTGACCTTGAGAGGCCGGGGCCGCTCGGGCTCCTTCCAGCGAAGGTAGAGCTGTCCAGCCACAGACAGGCCCACAAAAAACCAGTAGCTGAAGCTGAAGTAGTTGATGAGCAGGAAAACGTCCTCCACGATGAGGTAGATGAGCGACATTGTGCACTGGATGGGGAGGGAGGGAGAGGAGAGGGCAATGTCACCACCAGGGGCCCCACCAGACGTGCTGACAGCTGACTTAGCTTCACCAGATGACCTCTGGCTCGCTCCAGTGACCCCCTGCCCCCAGGAAGGTCCATTCTCCACTTTAATCCTCATGGTGGCATCTCTCCCTCTGCAGCTGGAGGCCCGTCCTCCACCCAGTGACTCCTTGACCCTCTGAGGGCAGACAGTGAGGCCCTCCGCACGTCCACCCACTAACCTCAGCATGAACCACAAGGTGCCCTCCAGGTCTTTACACATGGGTCCTAACTACCTGGCACATGAATGGGCAAATGCCTTGTCCTGGCACCTTAGAAATGCAGATTAGAGCCCTGGCCAGTGTGGCTCAGTTGGTTGGGTGTCATCCTGTGCACCAAAAGGTTGCCGGTTCCATTCCTGGTCAGGGCTCACATGCCCGGGTTGCCTCTCCATCCCTGATCCCCGATTGGGGGCATGCAGGAGGCAGCTAATCAATGTTTCGTTCTCTGGCATCATGTTTCTCTCCCTTTCTCTCTAAAAATCAATAAAACATCTTTAAAACTTCCAGGAGGAAAGTATCCTGTTGTGTTTTTGTTTTGTTTTTTCAGAGGGGGAGGATTCGTTGAAATAATGATACATTTAAGGGGCATATCATTATACCTGGCATATATAAAGCACCCCCAAAATGGGGCATATCATTATACTTGGCATATATAAAGCACCCTCAAAATTAGCTATTATTATTTTCATCCCCAAAGAGCTGAGCCCCAAAGCTCAAAGCCCAGACCAGATCAGCGAAAGCCAGTCCTGAAGGGCAGCACCTCTCTCGGAAGAGCCCCACTTAGCCCCTAAGCAATCCCTATTCTCCCAGCAGGCCCAGGGAAGCCAGCCTCGGTGCCAGAGTGACTTCCACAGGCACCTCCCCCTTGAGAGTCTGCAGCCCTTTCAACCTCCTATTATTTTTATATGATAAAAATTTGAAAACTGGAAAAACTGATTATTCAATACATTATACTGGCATAGTTGGCTATTTGAGAGAGAAAAATTAAGTGAATCCCCACCTCCCCCTACACATCAAAATATAAATTCCAGAGGAATCCAAAATTTAAACAATTAATTAAAACATTTAAGACTTAATAACAAGAAAAATTAACTTTTTCAAATCTTGGAGTAAGGCCTTTTTATCTCAGGGTTCCTATTAGCTTTTATTTATATAATATCTTAGTCCAAATTAGAGAGTGGTCTTTCTTCAGAACGTTTCACCTGTCAGAACACACTTCACTGCCATCTACTGTATATGAATGTATGATGTCTATGACATGAATAGAGGCCCGTAGGGTAGTTGGTGTTTAACTAATCTGGCTTTTCTAAATATGATTTTTTTTTAATTGATCCTTTTTCTTTAGAGAGAGAGAGGAAGGGGGAGAGAGAGAAAAAGACGCTAGAGTGAGACTGATTGGCTGCCTCCTGCACGTGCCCCAACTGGGGATCGAACCCACAACCCAGGCATGTGCCCTGACCGGGAATCAAAATGGCGACCTTTCGGTACATGGGACAACACCCAACCAACTTAGCCACACTGGCCAGGGCTCTAAATATGATTTGTTTAATATATATTTTTATTGATTTCAGATAGGGAGGGAGAGATAGAAACATCAAGGATGAGAGAGAATCATCGATCAGCTGCCTCCTGCACACACCCCCACAGGGGATCGAGCCCACAACCGGGCATGTGCCCTTGACCAGAATCGAACCCGGGACACTTCAGTCCACAGGCCAACACTCTATCCACTGAGCCAAACCAGCTAGGGCTCTAAATATGATTTAATATTTCTTGTTAAAAGGAGGAGCTGGAAGAAGGAGAGGAAGAAACCACTGATATAAAATAACAGATAGAGAAATCTTACAAGTTCACTTCTATATTCTTTTATAGCATTTGCCTTCTCTAATAGGACTATGTTTTACATTTACATTTTAAAATAATTTTAATAAGAAAGAAGAAACACTGAGAGGATCAAGAACTATCTCAAGAAAGCTAGTATACCGCCCACCCAACAGTTTTGCATCAAGTCAGCAGGAGTAGTAGAGAGATATATACCCAGTCCCTACACCCCCCCAGCAGAGCTTACATTGAACAATAAAGCAGGGATGGGTGTAAAACGCTCAATGTGGATCATGGACAGAAGGTCTGGGAGGTGGCCCTCACGGGAGCCCACGAAGAACAACCTGGAGGGACAGGAAATGTGTCAGTGAGATCCTTGTTACTCAGCCACACAGCCACACTCCTCACTCAGACAAAGTGGGCCCAGAGCTCCAGAACAAAGCAGGGACCAGTCTCTCAGGAGCCCCCCACGTTCTCTATGCACGCCCAGTCCAACCTACCCCCCCTTTACCCAGAGATGTCTCCACCTTCCTCAACCAGGGGCACCTCACCATTATCCATAAATGCCCTACCCCACGGTTACCCAGGAACCCCCATCACCCACAGACACCCCCACTTCTCTCAATCACAGTCCCCCACCAGCACCCAACGAATGCTTCACCCCACCATCACCCACTGCACTCTAACCCACCCCACCAGAGGTACCCTCACTCTGCCATCCCATAAGTTTCATACTTAACACAATGACTTTTATTTTTAATATGTTTTTAGTCATATTTTAGAGCGAGAGGAAAGGAGAGGGAGAGGGAGAGAGAGAAATAGCCATTGGCTGCCTCCTACTGGGGATCAAGCCTGAAACCCAGGCATGAGCCCTGATCGGGAATTGAAGCTTTTGGTGCATGGGACCATGCTCAACCGACTGAGCCACACCTGCCAGGGAAACACAATGGCTTTTTAAAGAAAAGTAGCCAGGCTTCTCTTGTGTCCTCATAGATCTTCTCTGAGCTCTTGACGTGTGATAGTGGTCGGCAAACTCATTAGTCAACAGAGCCAAATATCAACAGTACAACGATTGAAATTTCTTTTGAGAGCCAACTTTTTAAAACTTAAACTATATATAGGTAGGTACATTGTTATTAACTTAATTAGGGTACTCCTAAGGCTTAGGAAGAGCCACACTCAAGGGGCCAAAGCAGTTTGCCGACCACGGGGCTAGAGCAAACCTGGACTCAAAGAGACAACCCAGGCTCCCTCTCTGCACATAAAGAGCCCGACTGACTGGGAAACAGAGCAGCAGAGAAATGAGCACCACCCAGGGCAGGCAGGTCATCGTGCAGTACATCGCCCTCGCAAGGCTTAGGGGCGGACTGGGGAACAAAAAGCTTCCCAAGAGATGACCACGTCTGGGCTGGGAAGACGGGCTGGAGTCTGGCAGAGGTGAGTGGTGGGTGGGGACACAGCACGGGCAAAGGCAAAAGGGGCTTGGAGGCGGAACAGTGCGGCCTTTCTAAAGGTTGGTACTAGAATGCTTGTAGTCCTAGGATAAGGAGCGTGAGCAGTGTGCTGGGAAGAACTTGCACATGCGGACATACTGTGGAGTCTGAACAAGCATGAGAGCCAGCTGTGGCTCTGAAGAAAAGGCCTGACAAGATTTGACGCAGAGACGCTGGTAGCATCAACAGGGAGAGACAAGGGTATGGACTGAAGGCCAGACAAGCTCATCCATGATAACTGCCATAAGAGAGGAGGCCTGCCCTAGCCGGTTTGGCTCAGTGGATAGAGCGTTGGCCTGCGGACTGAAGGGTCCTGGGTTCGATTCCGGTCAAGGGCACATGCCTGGGTTGCGGGCTCAATCCCCAGTAGGGGGCCTGCAGGAGGCAGCCAATCAATGATTTTCTCTCATCATTGATGTTTCTCCCTCTCTGAAATCAATAAAAATAAAAAAATAAAAAATAAGAGAGGAGGCCTGAATGAGGCCCAATGCACTAGCTGAGGAGAGGACAGGATAGATGTGAAACCTCAATCAAATGTAGTGATCCTGTGTGTGTTTGTGTGTGTGTGTGTGCACGCACATGCATATGCACACATGTGCACATACATACACTGGGAGAATAGGGTAGACACCAAGGATAAAATTAAGAAGCAAGGAGGACTGTCCTGGCCTGTGTGGCTCAGTTGGTTCAGAATTGTCCCAGCAGAAAGGTTGCTGGTCTGATTCCTGGTCAGGGCACATGCCCAGATTGCGGGCTTTATCCCCGGTAGGGGGTGTGCAGGAGGCAGCCAATCGATGTTCCGCTCTCACATCGATATTTCTCTCTCTCTCCCTTTCCCTTCCTTTCTCTCTAAAAAAAAAAATCAATAATAAACTATTCTAAAAAAATAAAAGAAGAAGCAAGGAGGACTGATGGTCCACAAAATCACAGCTGGACACAAAGGGCATTTGGACACAAAGTGTATATTAAGTTTGAGATGCGCGTGGGTCATCCGGGTGGGAACAGGAGTTGATGACGTCATCTTTAAAGGTGCTATCGGGCAAGATGCTGGAGTTGGCTGGCGAAGTGAATAATCTGAACTAAGTAGAGAAGAAATGTGGAGGAGAGGATGCTGGGAGGGAGTAATGAGTAGGTGAGGCAAAGGCGTCCAGTACAAAACCCACACCAGCTGCGAGGATTATAAAGAAAAACTGAAGAAGGCAACACAAGCAGAAACAATTGTGCGTTGTTTCCTGGACAGCACTGCACCTCCCTTTGGGTGCAGGTCCAGATTCTTACTCTCGCGTCCTCCCCAACCCCATCCGGTCGTTGTCCCAAGGTGAGGTTAGAAGGCACCTACCACCTCAGTATTTGGAGACAATTGGCAAGGTCAAGGGGGATGTTTTGAGCACCAGTGAGTATGAGGCGAGGGGAAGTACCATCTTTGGGTGGGGCAGCTTGTGAAGAACCACAAGGGGTGGAACCTGGGCCACAACAGGCTGAGGTGAGAGGAGATGACACTATATTCTTTTAAAATACTTTGCTTTTTCTGTTACTCTCAATGCTCCAGGGAGGCCCCACATACACGGACTGGGGTGTCAAAACCAGTTAAGAAAAATAAACAGGACAAAACTTTCTCTTATCCTATCTGTTCCTGTGGCAAATCTTTATTGCATGCCTAGTACACTCCTGGCCTGGGGGATAGCGACATTTAGGGGGTGAGAAATCAGGAAAGGAGCCTTCTCAGCTACCAGAGAGTCGCAGGAATCGTTTCAGGAGAAAAAGGCTGTCAGCATCACTTGCTTCGTGCGTCCGGTATTACAAGGACCGTGATGAAAGCAGGCTGAGGAGGAGTCACTGGTACCCTTACTCAGAACATTTTTTTTTAGGTACTAGAAGCCAAAGGGTGATGGGTAGAAAAAGGAATGACCAGTGAAATACACACTATTCCCTCAAGAAATGTGCCGTCAGGAAGAGGGGAGACGGGAAGAGCTATTTTGCGACTTCTGTAAGTGGAGATGGCTCCAATGGGTGAACATCCGCCCAAGAGAAGGGCCAACGGACGCACCACGGCGCTAAGGAAGGGAAGCGTGTAACCTTGACCCCAGGTAGCAGAGTGAGCCGGCGAGGCTCCTTTCTCTGGAACAACAGGCAGGACAGCCTCTGCACAGAGAGGAGAGGAGGCGCCTACCTGTCGGCCTCAGTGTTTTCTGTGACGTGAGGGGCAGAATCATCTTGTGCCGGGACCTGGTACCCAGCGAGTGCTCGCTAATCGTTCACTGAAGCAGTGAGTCCTGGGGCTGTGCCGTCACCCACAAGGGGCCTAGAAGCTGGTCCCTGACAGGGCCCCTCACCCCAGCTATCACCTTCTTCTCTCCCACCTCCTATCAATCTGTCCTTGGTTAGAGCATCGTCCCGATTCGCCAAGGTCATGGGATTGATCCCAGGTTGGGGCACATACAAGAATCAACCAATGAATGCATAAGTCAATGGAACAACAAGTGGATGTTTCTTTCTTTCTCTCTCAACTCAATAGATAAACGCATGAGCTACCAGCACACCAACATCTGCACAAAGGCAGACGCATGCACACTGATGTGCGCGCGCGCGCGCACACACACACACACACACACACACACCCTGTCTTTCTAGGAAAGAGAGGAAGGAAAAGAAGAGCTCTTACGGGCTCACCTAAAGCCTCAGAGAACATGGAGTCTGTCACCAGGGGGACAGGGACACAGTACCTTGATGAAGCAAGGATCGACGCATTGAGGCCCCCAAAGCAGGACAGGGCCACAGCGATGGGAATGGTCCAGCTGAACATGCCAAAGGTCTGGTCAGCAAATGTCTGGGGGCAGAACACAGAGGCGCACTCAGCCTGGGCCGGGGTTTCCTATGACCGTTCAGTGTCATAGGACCCCGAGCGACTCACCACAGCCACGGCGTCGCTGTTGAGGACGTCTGAAATGCTCAGCACGGTGTAATAGGCCACGTTGGTCAGGAGGTAGATGAGCGTCACAATTGGCATCGAAATCCCGATGGCCAGGGGCAGATTCCTGTTAGCACAGGTGAGACAGGAAGACCTAGAACCAGCCTCTCCCTGGGGTCCAAGTTCACCCAAGGATTTTTCTGACACTGAACAGTTCCCTGGCCTCTGGGTCTTCGAGGTACCTCTTCCCCACGATGTCCCAGGATGGGTATGTGTCCCACGCCCCTGGGCTCTCTAGAGAGAAGGGGGAAGAGAAACCCTTCTCTGTGGAGAGAGCTCATGAGCTCATGGTCAATGTGTGATGCTCGCCACACTGGGGCCCATGGGTCCCACTGGAGAAGGAGCAGTGTCCCCTGGGGATTAGAGGTCAGGCTGAGGACCTGGCTGCGCAGAATAAACCTCCGGCTCCCCAGGTCTCAGGGTCAGTACCAGCGTGCAAGGTCCCAGCACCTTAGCCCCAGCGGGCTCTGCTGCCCATTCAAGGACCGTCCTTGAGGGGGGACCCTGGTTTCCTCCAGTGTGACCATGACGGGGA